CACCAGTCGACTACATGCCTCTCTTGCACAGGACTGAGCCGTTGTTCGTGGATTTTGGCTTGTTGTCGAGGGTGGGCGCCATGAAGCCGTCGGTTCAGGGTAGACTGTGGGATGCTGTACTTTTCCGCTGCATCTTTCTGTGAACAAAGGCCTTCTTGAACCTCGGCTATAGCCAATTGAATAAGCTCTTCCCGGATAGCGGTCATGTTGATTTTGGCCCAGAAGTGGATGAGTTGTGTTGAGTTGAAGTTAGTCATGTCTGGAATGGTGGTGCGGTGCCAGGATTCCATTGTGGGGCCGATTCCGTTGCGGGGTCCAGACGTCTAGATTTGATTCCGCACCCCTTCCTTGAACTTCTCTGAAGTACCCCGATTCCCACTCACTTGCGGCCAGCCATCAGTCAACACGCCCTCATTCCCATTGGATTTGCAACCTGCAGCCAGCTGCTGATTAGATTCGGAAAGCGCCCTCCTTGGTTATCTTCCCGGCTTGAGAACATAAGGTAGGTAGGCAAGCTTGATCGAACTATAGCCAGTCAATCCTGCCCAAGCTGCGGCGCTGCCCTCCAAGTTGTTTCTCAGGCTCACCAGTCATACGCCACCATGCAACCAGTTGCATCAATCACATTGTTCCCGCGTTCTACGAGATTCTAGCGTCAGTTATGGAGCTTGCCCGCTTGTAGGGGCACGCAAACAGGCCAAGCCTGAACTCCGTCACAACACCACGATTCTTTGCTTTCAGCTCGGCACCCGCCATGCAGCAAAACAAATCAAGTAAACATGGCTGGCATTCAGTACATCGGCATCATATCTGCCCGGTGCCTGAGTTCCAATCGAGAGCATCATTGCCTGTCGATCGTCCTGATTTTCCTTTGCCTCTAACGTTTGACACCCGCCGCACTCCGCAGGTCGGGGAGCGCCCGGTCTAAAGCAGAGCCTAGGAGACCGAGGATGGAATGTGAATCATCGCTCCACCTTGAAAATCGCCAGACGTCACATGCCAACTTGAGTCTGGGCATGGCTCGTCGTGGCGTGGACTGTTCGACGTGGTTCTAACTCATTCATCTCGAAGCCGGCTGGAGAACTTTAAGGTAAAGTACGTAACGAATAAGGGCGCACAGGTTCGATACAGAATGGGGCCCTGCTTCCATAAGTCTGTCTGGTACGGACAGAGCAAAGATCAATCATCACTAACGTCAAGTCAGACTTCCATCGCAACCTTTCCCATTGCTTTCTCCTCTCCGCCATACCCCGTGCCAGGCCTAAGCGTTGAACATGCCGCCCGCATCTCGGCCTTTATGCAGGAGTTGCACAACGCTGCCCAGTGGCCAGGGCCATCCCCCTTTCGATGACGAGACGCTCGCTCTTCGCATTCTGGAAGCCGCCAACGCAGACGCAGACCTTGATCCCTCCCACATCACGTCGCCCTTCTCCGCCAACAGCACTGCCCCCGTCGCCTTGGACGCTGGTGGGCCCATCGCGACAAGTTTGATGGGCTCGAGAAGCTGATGCTGGATGACATCGAGTCGCCCCAGAAGCAGGTCGACAAAGGCAAGGTGCCCAAGCCTCCACCGGCCGTGTTCGAAGACCCGGTCGACGAGAACCTTCAAGGCTACGACGACACGGAAGCACTCGGGAATTTCGCCTACCTCAAGGACGGGCACTCAATCTGCACTATGCTCACCAACGTCGCCCTCATGGAAACCCACCCTGGCGGCTTCGACAATACCACCGTGGCCGCAGAGGCGTTCAACGTCCAAGCGCAGGAGACGTACAGGGCCATGGTCAGAGGTATGGCGGGCGTTTACAACTTTGGCGAGGGCACCCGCAGCAAGCACGACTTCACCGTCCCTCCCCCAGAGCCAAGTCCACGAGAAGCTGCTCGAGACCATGTTTGAGGGCTTGAGGCTGGACGACGCCCACAAGATGGAATCGACAGCCAGATCACCAGCTTTGTCAAAGCCCTCAGGAACATCACCATCGACGGTGAGCATATCAAGCTCGAGTTTGCCCTCCGCATCGAGCTCACCCCGGCCGCCAACATCACGGCCGACAACGCGAACCCAATCTGGGCGTTCGAGCCCACCACGTACCTCATCTACCTCACCATGGATGTCAACGCCTTTGTCCAATCCATCAGCAAGAGAAACAGCGAGAACAGAGTCTGGCTCAAGTAAGCGTACACGCATGTCGTCACCAAGGCCGAGCTCAACGTCGGCCGCTTCCTCAAGCTCAGGCCCAAGTACGATCTCATGTTCCAAAAGGCCACCGGCATGAATCTGAAACATTATGGCGACCTGCTCAGCAAGTCGGTCAAGAAACGAGCTTGACCATGTGTGTAACCGCGGCTCCTGGTTGGAATTGATGAGTGTGTGCAATTGCGGTCGAGCCTTGTCTGCCTGACCATCTTCCATTTTCTTCCTGTCTTATGGCTGAGCCCAGCCACTGCAAGTGGTTTTAGTTTGTCAGGTAGTCGAAGGTACCTTGGAAACCAGAGCAATAGCGACAGGTGCAAAAAAAGGTACAGATAAATCCAACCCAGCCCGTGGTGCAGCCCAGTCCCGAGGTGATGGAATGAGATCAATGGAGCTAATAAGCTCAAGTACTACAGAGGCCTTATACTTTACCTGCCTTTCAAACCTCAAAAGCCTGACGTGTCGCCCTGTCACCTAGGTAGATACGGTACTTTATTCTCGGTCGGTGACCAGCTCATCTTGTCGAGATGGTTGTACCTGTTCAGGATTCGATCCTATATGCTGGAATAAGCATGAGAGAAAAAACCACACAAGGGGGGCACTTACAAACACGATTTCCCACCCCAAGAACGAGATAAGCCAATGCATTGTTGCGAGCCCACCTCTCCAGACCACAGCGCTTGTATTGTCCTTTAACAACTCCTGAGCCAACTCTCTCGAAAACACCTCCCTCTTGAACTAGCACGCATCCCGTCTCTCAGAAACTCCCGCCTCCCAATCCACTCCCGCAGGCCAGTATATAGACTCCCCTCCAGCACCGAGGCTCCGCTCATGACAACAGCGTCGGACGTGAACAGGCCTGAGTCCACGCTCCCGCACTTGAGCAAGAGCCACCTGCATGCCCAGTGGGGGGCCATCTCGCGGTGCATAGTCCGGCCCATGACCCTGAGTTGGGCGAGGCACCTGTTTTGCAAGTGCGAGCATGACCCTGATTCTTCGCGATGCGCAAAGCGTAGAGCATAGGTACCTATGCTTTCTTACAGGTCATTGTATAGCAAGCAACCAGACCTTGAAAACAAGGGATAAAAGTGCACGTCTAGGTGCTCGTCTCGCCGATATTCTTCCAGAAACTTCACTCGGGACTATTTTACAAACTTGACATGTTACTTAGGGAACAATCCAGTGCCCCTCGCAGCGTTCTTAGGCATATTTCCGTCGTTTGGGAGGTCTGGGAAACCGCATCATGATGGGACTCACGTCACCATTAAACAGTTGGTGAACATATAAAAAAGAGTGGTACTGCTGTCTGTTATCAGACTTGATCGGACCCGGGTTTGAACCGGGGACCTTCAGTGTGTTAGACTGACGTGATGACCAACTACACCATCCGACCAATCACTGTTCGGCATTACATTGGGAAACAATTATGAACCTAGCAATCAAGGGTTGGGGATTGCTTCAAGGTAGGTATGTGGAGTGTTATGTAAACTTCTGGAGCCAGTGGAGCAAACGTGAATTGGGTTTGAAAGTCGTGAAAGTGAGTCACTGGACTCATTGACTTTACTCCCAACATGGTTGCCAACTTTGAAGTAGACGGAAATGGACTGTGTCTCAGAAAATTTACCTTAGTCTGAAAGGTTAATGGGGACAAAGGCACTATACCATGACTCGAACCCTTGCGTCATGCCCCTTTTCTGATGATGTCAAAGATCAGGTGGCACGAGCAACAACATAAACACCCCGGGGGCGCCAGATCAAACAACGATAATCGGCCCATTCAGGAATATTGAATTTCTCGAGATGAAGCATATATTAATTCTCGCAGCATCACTCCAAATGCTTCGATCGGCGAGCGCGCGCCTCCTTCGGCACTCTCTCACACCGACCAGCACCACCACCACATACATCGCCGCTCGGCCAATTACCTTTGCCACAGGCAACATTCGCAAACCTGTATCTCTTACCGGTATCAGGGGCAAACCCGGCCGCCCTAGTCCGGCAAGTTCTTCGAGGCTGATGAGCCGGCCGTCGACATGGGGCGAGAATACGTAGGCGACCCACCCGTCACCGTCTTATTCAACGGATTTTCGAGTATGGATCCTGGTGAAAGAATTGGTGACTGACGGTAACGGTTATGGGGGTATAACTGAGTCAGGATCACCACGGTAGCCGCAGGCACCTTGCTAGCTGGGTCGTGGTACATCTGGGAGGCGGGTCGCAGCTACATCGTCGGACCCGAGGTCGAAAAGTATGAACCCCACGGACTAGGAACTCATCGCGAGGGTACGGTCAACCGGGATTATGTCAACTATGACCATTGGGTGGAGATGCACCGGCGGAAGGGGAAGTAGATTGGACTGTTCCAATGAGGGAGCTTCAGCTGGGGGCGTGGGACCTTGGGTAGTAAGGTTGGTAGAAAGGGCAATTTGATACGCAGAATAACTACAGTGCGTATGCCGATGGTTGGGCATGGGAAAAGGGAGGGTTATACTCGAGTGAAGCATGTACTGGGCTGGCTTGGTATTGCATGGACTCTGATTTCAGGAATTCCGAGATTGAATGGGATGCAGCACGCAGGCCTTACCAAGATTATGTATTCACCAACCCCCAGGTAGCACCTGCCATCGTCTATCGCCGCCTTCTCCTGGTAAAATATGACTTCAAGGGGAAGTAGCGGCGGTGAAAGACATGATACGGCCCTAGTTGCTCAATGGTGTGGATGACGTTGTGTTTCGAAACTGGAAAGGGGTGAGTTCGGCAAGTTCGACGGATCATGCTCAGGTCTGTAAAGCCATGAGAACCGTCCGCTTCCCGGATAAATGTCGCGGGATCCAGAACCCAGACGCGAGACTTCCCACGCACAGGCCACAGCAACTTGCGTGGATTCGCGCTAAGGCGGACCATCGTCGTGATTTCAGCCTCGATGGAACAGCAGCCCTGGTGATGCGCGAGGAATGCGAGCCCGAAGTCTGTCCAGATACCTTGCTTCTTCACCTCCTGCAGTCCCCACCGAGCCTGGTTCCGCACTGGGGCGCCGAGCGAAGCGCCAGTGATGCTCCTCTTGGCAAAGCGTGTAACCTCTTTGCTCTCCTCGTAGGAGGGATCAACCGACAGCCCAAGGCCAACCGCAGGGATGGAACCGGCCGATGCCCCGACACTGAGCGTCTCCTCAACAGTCACACGGGACGGGACGTCGCTTCACCTTCCCTCGGGCCAGTATCTCAGGATTCTCACTGGCGTTGGTGCTGCCGGGCTTGCCGGCTTCATGACGACTTGCACCGTGGCCGACTTGAAACGGTGGCGGGCGCCCGGAGGGGCACCAATCTCTCGTCTCAGCACGAGAAGCGCGACACTCGCGGCATCTGCGCCTCCGCCGTAGTGGCCGAAGCGCGCCAGAGCAATTCAAGTAGTACTGTATTTAACAAAGGCTGTATACGCGGTCAGCATGGATTTCCTCTCCAGCTTAAGGGGACTTGGACTTCTGCGTACTTCGAGCAATGGCATCGCCGGGTATCATGCTGTCGCCATACACTCGTATATAGAGTCGTATTCGTCATGGTCTCCAAGATGCTCGATGGCTTGCAAAGTTGCTCGTCGCATTCTGCACCGGCTCGCCTGCCTAAGTGCGTCGGGTGGCCATCATTCCTCAACTTATGCGATAAAAAGGAGTGACGTTAAGAGGAGTAACCTCGTTCACCTTTGTTCAGGGCTTTAGAACACAGTCACGTTGCACCTGATGGCTTTCGCGGCCCATGCGAGCATTGCAAGGGGCCGAAAGGAAGGCACCTAGGTATGCATGTAGGTTCCCCACTACTCGATGAAGAGTTCTGGGCTAGTTAGCCGTGATATATGGCAGGGGCCAGAGAAGAATACCTGAAAAAGTAAGGTACCATGTCTTATACCAAGTCACGCATATAAGCGAGTCGCGCACTCTCCTCTACCTTGCAACAGCTATCCTCAACTGCAACACAGCAACACTAGGAACCCACGATAATTACGTCAGAAACGGCTGAATCAAATGCTTCTCCAGCGTCCTGGCAAGTGCGCGCCTTATGGTCAGGCTTGCCGCACACACCACAGCACCGATCCTTCGTACTACCCTTCCCAGGACCCTTCCCGGCACCACCACATCCAGGCTGCATTTCTTGCACTCCCTCCCCCCCCACTGCCTTCTGGCTCACTAGATCATTCGCATCTTGTACGGCAAGGATCATCCAAACTGTACACCTATTTTTTTTGTGACTCTCCGAAGCTTCTCAATGCCTCATTGGCCTTGCGGAGCGAACTGTTCTCTGACTGCAGATGGCTACGCGGTGGATCATAGCCATCGTACCATTGGTGAGCTGGTATATAGCAGCCAACATCGACGTCGGGGAGCTATGTTGTGATTGTGGCAATGCGAACCTTGATAAGCGTTGACTGCAATCGGGATAAATGGCGTTTGGAAGACCCAGGGTTGCGCAGTGCTGGGCGGTAAGTTCGGGGGTATTGGTGTATGAAGCTTTATATCTAGCTTAGAGAGCACCCTCTCTAAATTGTACGGTTCAAGGCCAGCCCTTGTAAAGTCACTCCGTATATTCTTCACAGTTATAGAGGCGAAGATGGCCTCGCGGAAGGCGCGGAGGAGCTCGAGCTTGCTGACGTAGTTGTCTAGTTGATATATGCGTGTATCAAGTCCTCAACCTGACGACCCGTAGGCCTGCTTCAGTGGCCGAAGGCAGCTAACGTCGAGTGGCCAGAGGAGATGGGAGGAGTGCGGAAGTATGTAGAGCGTAATGATGTTGCTCTGCTGGCAATAGAGCTCGAATTCGGTTAAGTGGTGGCTCTCATGGCTGTCGAGGACTAACTGTTGGAAGTCCAACAGCCACGTTTTCAAGGTATCACAGGACGAAGCGCCTACAAAGTAGAGCATGCATAAGCAGCAGAACGGGCAGTGTCTTGATTGAGCTGTAGATGTTCGATGTCTGATTAAAAACCTGACGCGCATCGCGCAATCTCTGATAACACTGTCTGTCTCTCACGTGACACCCCTGAACTGACCATTCTCGCTGCCTGTAAATCCAACATTGACAGCAGAACTAGCAGCCATCGCAATGGCCTTGGAGAGGATTCCGGCCAACGCCTGCCATAGGCACATCACCATCGTCACCAGGAACCAGTCAGCGCTAGCAGCAATTAGGCAACCGCGACAACAGTCTGGCCAAGGCA